TACAATGAACCCTTTGATTAGTTTAAATCCCTTATTTAGCCTCACCCCACATCTGAAGCCATGCAACTTTGCATCCAACACTCAGCACGGGAGAAAATAACTAAAGATCTAGAAACACCAAAAGGAAAAAAAAGCAAAATTGTTTTTATTTGTGAGCTTTAAAAGCTCTTGCTCCTGCTCATCTGTAAATCCAGTAGACATGTAAAAATACAACCATACAATACATTAGATTCAAAAAGGTACCAAAAAGTACAGTAAAAATAACACTTCCATTACTGGAAATGTAAATGGACACAAAACAATATAAAATAAAAAGTGGAAAAGTGACATTTGCTTCCCCAGTTCCTCACTTGATCTGTACAAATGGAGCATGAGTCCAAATTTCTGCCAACTCCAAAGGAAAAGCCAGAGCCCATGTTCGCTGTGGTCAGACCATGGATCTCTTTTTCTTATTTACTTTAGACCTTAAGAGAAAAACACGGTGCTTAACGTTACTGAGAATAAACCAAATATGGCATGCAGTTACACAAAGACAGACAGGTGCATGAATGAGTTTGACAGGTCAGTGAATGGACAGACACACTTTGGGGGGGGGAGGGGGGCACGACCGCTAGCTATTACACACCTAGCACCCTAGTGAAAGGTGAAACGGTCCTTATTCCTGTTCTCAACCACCACCAACTCAACCCTTATTGATCAAGTAGTGTTTGTAGAGATGCATCTTAAGATGGCTGACAGGTGGAATGAATCCATCTTTAATGATCACAGACCCCACAACACGGCCTACCCTAACCCCACCACAATGTTTGAATGGATTTAGAGTAGATGGACATCTTTGGGGTCAAAAAGGCACCAATGGTTACAGCTATGTTCTCATACTACCACGGATGATGCAAAAATGCATACCTGCACTACGTGTGATCAGTATGGCTTGTAGCTACTCTGGTGGCCTCCACGTCTTGGAGTTTTCCCATAGCTTGTATTGCCCTGGTCTGGAGGACAAGAGAAAAAGGGACTGAGTTCTTCTGTACAACAAGGAGGACCAAGAAAATAAAGTTCTCATTCTTTTCTTTCCCTGGGGGCACTTATCGCTTACTGTAATCGTAGCCACCCCCATAGCCGTAATAACCAGCAGAGTAGTCATAGTTGCCATAGCCGCCATATCCGTAGCCTTGCTGTCCGTAGCCATAGTTCGGGTTGTATCCCTGGTTCCAGTAGTTGTTGTAACCTTGATTCCAGTTCTGGCCCTGGCCTAGAAACAACAGGTGAGGCCTTTGTCACAACTCTCCAGCACACAGGAGCCAAGCGGTTACTCCGCACAGATTTAAGTATGGTTTAAAATTAAACTTTTACTGGTATTCGTGTAAAGAACACAAAAGGTGCTTACCTCCACGGCCCCTGCCGCGTCCTCCATATCCACGGGCGCCATACTGCTGCTGCTGGTAGACCTCTTTGGGCTGGGCTATTTTAATTTCACACTGCAACACCAGACAAGAGCATATCACATTGCAGTAGGTCACGACTTTGGAAAACTGTACATGAAACTTAGTACATACATGTATGCAGAATGTGCGATATATTATTACCTTGCTTCCACCGACGTTGTGGTATTTCTTCTCCATAACCTTCTTGACAGGAGCCTCGTCTTTATATGTGATAAATACGAATCCCCTCCTCTTTTCCGTCTTTGGATCTTGTGGAAGCTCAATGGTCTCGATCTATGAGAGAGGATTAAAAAAAAACTTTTAGAAAAAAAACTATCAGAAGCATTATATTCATTAATAAATGGAAAAAATACAATTTCGTACCTCTCCAAAGGTCCCAAAGTACTCCTGGATGACTTCCTTTGAAGTGTCAGGGTTCAGGCCCCCCACAAAGATTTTCTTAACTGGATCCTTCTTCATAGCCATGGCCTTCTTAGGGTCGATTACTCTGCCATCGAGTTTGTGCTCCTTCTGTTCAAGAACCTAAAAAAAATACGGGAAAACATAAAATATTAGCCACATATTTATACTGTAAACATATTTAGATATCCTTACGGTCCGGCATAATTGCTTCCCCACTCACCTTGTCTACGCTGGCTGCATCTTTGAAGAGGATAAAGCCGAAGCCTCTTGATCGTCCCGTCTGCTGGTCCATCTTGATGGTGCAGTCTGTCACCTCACCAAATTTAGAGAAGTAATCCTTGAGATCCTTCTTGCTCGTGTCCCAGCTGAGACCACCAACAAACATTTTCCTAAAGCGCAGAAAAAAAAGAAGGGGACACGTTTAAAAACCACACAGTTACCACTCCTCAACTTTACACACGGCTGTGGGGTGGGGGTAGCGTCGGGCATGAGGAGGGGGTAAATGTACACACTGTTCCCGAACATCTGTTGACCCAGTGGTGTACAGAGGCAGGCTACAGTTGCTATGCTCCAGGCTACTTTACAACATTAATTCAATATATACTTTTATTTATTTATTTATTTTTTTTAAATCGCTACAATGTGACCACAGCAGGCACCTCGTTTTCCACAGTCTCCCTTAAGGCCCGATACATGTTAGATTTGATCCCTTCACAAGCGCCCATCCCCCCTCCGCTCTGCATATGGCGCCAACAAAGGCCGGTTGAACAAAGAAACATGGCAAACCACGGGCGCTCGTTACCAGCGTCGGGTTCACATAAAGATTCACATTGTGGCGTTTTAAACTCACCCGGCATCCTCCTCGCCCTTGCTGGCGTCGATCTGGCCGCCCTCCGTGCCGCCGTTTTGCGAATTCCCGTCGGCGTCGGGCCCTTCGCCCTCTCCGCAGTCATTCGCGGCGCTCTCGTCGATCCCCTCGGTGTGGTCGGCTCCATTATAATCATCGTCGACTTCGTGGCCGTTTTCCGACGTTTCCATATACTGCTGCTCTGCCTCGGACATTTTGCACTAATATACCTATAAAGGAAGGTAATGGGGTGGTGGGAGAAAAAAAATCAAGTTAAAAAAAAAATCACGGAGGTTATATAATCCGTCATGCCGTACATGCTTCGCCATTGCCATGGTGCCAAATGCATGCATTTTCCCACCATTTTGGCCGGCACGGTCGCGTTCCATACATTCTAGAACGGCCGTATTTTTGTTGCCAGGCAGCGGCGAATGGCAACAGTAACGTTTCGCGGTAACCACGCAACATCAAAAAGTACATTTGTGCTGGAGCCGAAGATTAGCGGCGGTAACAGTCTGTGCCACACTGATAACCCAGGACTGGACTGTGCAACTCAAATTCGCAGTTACGTAATGCAGAGGCCGTGCTAGACGACACTGTAGGCCTGTATTTTTTTTTTTTTTTCCTCGAGTAATTACAGATATTTCCTTTACATCTAGCAGTTAAACGACGAAAACGACTATAACAACCAGAGTACTTACGTGACAATACAATGAAAAAACCAAGAGTAATGAAGTAGGAAAAACCTGCTTACTGGTCGCACAACCGGAGAGCTCTCTTCAAGATGGATTCTCCCACACGACGACAACTCGTGGTTGGTTTTCTAGAACCGGCAGAAAAAAACGACACTTCTGCGGAGACGCGATCTGATTGGATGATCGCCGCTGCCACTCACCACGCCGGCCAATCACGTACGCGTCGCTTTCTTTTGCGCTGAAGATGGACACGCCCCTAACCCACAGGAAGGAACTCTGTACCTTTTTCTGCTCCTAATGAAAGATATTTGTTCACTGCTCGGTACATTCAACTATGCAGATCGGCACTGCGAAAATGTAATGAATGGCTACTGTTGAAGTAATGTTTAAAAACAAATAAAATACCCGTAGAAGTGTACTGTACTTGCGTTTTATTCACGGTCTGACAAAAGGTGTAGTGAAATGCAACAGTAGCCCAGTTCCGAGTCGAGAAAATGAACAGACAGCGTTGGAAAAATTCATTTTTCACACGTTTGTATGAACATTAATGATGGATAAACGCGTAAAGAGCTGCCATCAAGCCCTTTATATGCATACATTGACATTTCTTTTAGTTTTCCTGTACAAGGAAATACCTAGGAAAACATGGACTGGACATAACACACAGCATAAAATAATGAGATCAAATACATAAAGTACGATAGGTTTATACACCTTTTTTTTTTTGGGTCTGACAGATAAGTATTGGTTAATCTCTGTGGTAATTAATGAGAGGTGCATTGCAGGGTGGTACTGCAATGTATGGAGCAGTTCAGGTTATATTCTTTAGAAATTGTGCATACAGTACAGTTTAATATAAACAGGTCAGGTTTATCCATCTATTTGTTCTGTGCAGACCACAGGGACCAGATGCAGTAACAACCCAGCAGCCCTCACAGTGAGTTAGGAACCACATACAGCTACAATCATATACTACAGACCAAATAATCTACATTCAAATAGCTTTTAGAGACTTAAACATCCAGCCACATAATTAAAATACATCTTTTTCTATTTCTTTCTTTCATCGCTGTCCTCACATACACACGTACTGTTGCAATGGCCTGTAAGATTACTTTCCTACACATGTTAGCTGCCATGCAAACTGCTGTAAAGTTGCCTGAATAAAATACTGTAGTACTCATATGACCCACTAAAGTCCTCTACATCGTTAATTTAAATGTTTGTTAGACAGCCATGTGCACCTGTAGGTCCTTTACTAGCTGGAGTACTTTGACAATAATACATTTCTGTGTTTGTGAACACTAGCCAACTTAGTTAATGTTCTCATCTGAGCTCAGGTCATACAGCTCATCCAATTTTTTCAGTGCAGTCGTAAACCAAATGCAAACCTTTTAACACACTAGCTGAGTAATTCAAGATGTTATATTAGACCTGATGGGATGGGCTGAGAACTTATTGAACAATTAAGACCAGTTGAATTTCAGTTTAGGCTATGGATCACCCTTTAAAGAAGTGCTAAATAAGGAACAAATGGTTTATAAATAAGACAACATTACCAGGAGACAAACTGCTGAAAAGACATTTTATTTGAAAATAGTACTAAAGAGATACATTTGTTTAAAAAATAACGTGAAACTATATTCTCATTCTGCTTCTTCCACAATGGCTCCATCGCATATTATTGGCATCTTTGGATTGTTTTTGATCAGCCAGTCAGCAAGCCAAATCTAATGAAAACAATAGTGCAGGTTAATGGAGTGAGATGTTTCAGGGAGCAAAGTTCAACACCAGCAAACAAACAAAGTCATATTCAACAGCAATAGATTACAGGATAACAAAATACATATATCAACCTACGTTTATTCAAATATTAAATACTTACACAGGGGTTGTGTGGCTTGTGTTTGCAGAGCTCAGTGAGTCCACGAAGCAGAGTTGGGTTAACGTACCTGCTCAGGTATTCTTCAGTTGCTTCTCTCGAGGGAAAGGGCTCGATTACAGCTACAGAGAGAAAACATGTGGGGTACATAATCGTAACGGTTCGATGATACATTTCTATACAAACAGCATTAGGTGTTATGTGTATTACGTACAGTTTGGGAACATGAATTTGATTTCCCGTTCAGCTGCGTGAAATGACTCGCTGCCGTGGACTGCGTTTTTCAGGTCAGAAGTGCCATATTTTGCTCTGAGGCTGGAGAAAGAATGTATCACATTAATATAATATATATACATCATTACAATAGCTCAGAGGATCACTCACAGGGCATGGTGAACTATGTACTGTATGTCATGATAGTCAGACACTGGGGCCCAGAATCACAATCAAATAAGCAGTATGTATGTGCAAATACAAAGTCTTACATTACAAGTGGAATAAATACCACTGAGAATATTATAAGGGCATAATAATACAACCAAAGGGCCCCAAAGCACACCTGTATTCATATCTGTGCAAAATAGCCTCTACAACTACTTATTTTTATTTGCTAATGCCAGATACAATTTGACAATTTCATCCAAGCAGCAACACACCCAAAAAATTAATTTGTAGCTTTTTGTGAAGTTATATATTACACTTTGTCACATAATCCAATGCAACACCATTTGGGAACCACTGAGAGAGAAAATACTGTAAAAAGTTCGGCTGAGTATTATTTTTAGTTTGATATAATGTGTCCATCACACAGCACTTCCAGTCTGAACAAAAGATAACACAGAAATATTAAAATATTGTGACAGCCTGATGTGAATGTGCTCACCCACTAATATGATAATAACTATTTCTAAATAGATTGAAAGTCTGTTTTAATTTTGCCAGTCTTTGTTTCTAAGCAGACAGTTAGGCAGTGATTTAGTCCAAACGCCCACCAGTATAATACATTTTATATTAAAGAACACATCACAACGAAGCCACAGTCTGAATCAACACTTTATGAATGAACAGTTACCAGTCTGGATGAGTTTCTCTGGCCTTGATGCTGTTGACAGGCCCTATGATGGACTTCCAGTGGGCAATAGCGTTTTCACGAGCCAGAGTCGCGGCGATGACGGGGCCAGAGCTCATGAAGGCAGTCAAGCTGGGAAAGAAGAGTTTTCCATACTGGTCTGCGTAGAAGTCACTGCATTGCTCCGGACTTAGTTGCAGCTTCCGTTTCTGCCACAGGAATGAAGAATTGGACAGTTTGAGTGAAATGTGAACTGATGCTGGATTTTAAAGGACGACATTTATCTTCATAATTAAGGGTTTGATAAAGTCTGATGTCCCTTAAACTTAATTATTAGGAGTGTGCCCATGATATGTGCTGAGCAGGTCCTTTATCAGCGCCCTCTGGTGGACTGTTTCTTCATTGCCTCAAAAATATCATCTGTGTTTCTGTACTGCAGTTTAAGATAAGATAACCTTTATTTATCCCCCGAAGGAGAAATTAAAGTTACACACAGCAGCATTGGGGAATATAGTGCAACAAAATAAGAGTACAGTGTACATACAATAGTATCACAAATAAGAATATTACAAAATATAATAGGAAATATAAAACTATAAATGAAAGCTTGACTAAAAAACTAAAGTGTACAGGTGCAATTTAAGATAAATAATATAAGTTAGGTTGGATTAAAACCAGTCTTTGTCAGCGGGGGTTGGAGGTCGTCGGCAGATGGTACAAACGAGCCTCCTCAGGCTCGGGGGCTGGGTCAGTCTGTGTAGAGAGGATGACAGCGGTCGTCCATGATGGCTTTCAGCTTCCCTCTCATCCTCTTCTCTGAGCTTTGCCTCCAAACCACCAGGAAGAAAACGTGCCAGGTCTAACAGATACCTGAGATCATTTGTACCATCAGCTGTTGGGTTTCTCAACAAACTATAGGTAATCTTCAATCCCTGCCCATGTCACAGT